CAACTGCGTCAGAGCCACTCAAGGGCTGAAACCTGACCCCCTCCCCCCCGCCCCCCAAGGTGGGGAACTCACTGGCTGCCTGCTCCTCCAGCATTTGTGTCTGCAGAAGAGGACAGGGCCCAACCCCTGCTGGGGGGGGGAGGCGGGGGCTGCTGCTTTGCCCCCTCCCCCAATCATTGCCCAGGAGGCTGTGGCCGCATTTGAGAAATGCTGATCTAGTCTAACACCCTGCCAAGATGCAGGATTTGTTAGTTTTGAAATCTTCAGTTCTAATTAAACAGAATGTTATTTCTTCTTTATCTCGCTAACACTGTTATTATTTCAGACCACAACAAGGGTGCATAATTTAGGTTGCGTGGGAAGGTGTAATTTGCATGGGGCAATAGAATATATGGTTCTGAATTTTATTTTTGTTGTGAGCCCCTTGGGGCAGGGACTCTTTGTTGAATGTTTGTACAGAGCTTGGCACGACAGGGTCCCACTCCTATTTCAGGCCTCTGGACAATGCTACAATACAGATAATTAATAATGAGCAAAGTGGTTGCACATCCCTTAACTATTCATTTCCAGGCATTCATACTTCTGAGGGATCTGTTTTTGTTTCTAAGTAGAATTATTCTTCTGTGGATACTATAATTCATTCTCTAAGGGTGAGGTAGATCTTGCTGACACACACTTTCAAGTTTAACTCATTCCTCATCACGTTTTTGTTTACAAATTGAACATTTTCATTAATATGTTAGGCACAGATAGGCTTTTCATTAACATCAGTCTGTCTCCATTGTGAAGTGCAGCAATTGCCGTATGAAGGAATATCCCTCTTAGCAAGTTTGAGTGCCTCTGTTTGTAATGCAGCAAAGGAACTTTTTCTTCATCCATTGCTGGTTTGGAAAATTTGCCTTTCAGGTGTCCAGTGGCAGAGAGCAACTTTTACTGTTCACTGCTCTTTGACAACAGCAGTGCTTTGTCCTTTGTGTGGGAGGATATCATCGTCATTTTGATATGCAACAATCCAGACTGCACACTGGCACAAACAGAAGATATGGAGGATACAGCTTATCAGGCATTGGAAATGACAGTCTCAGCATAGATGGGTCATATATCCAGGCAGGCCTATATCCATTGGCTCAGAGTGCCTCCTTGTGGCAGTATACAAGAATGTTAGACATTGCACTTTATGACTTCATGACAGCCAGTGTGTGGCTATGAGATTTGGAAGTTCTACAAGCAGAATCCACACACTAGTTCTGCCATGCAGAAGAATAAGGAGATGAAAAGATACATGGAACTAAGTCAGACCAGCCGTTAATACGTAAATATCCACCAAGAACACACAGTGAAATACAAAGGCTATATAAAAAATTACTTTCTCAAATGTTTATTACATGATGAAAGAAGACTAATTGGTAAATTCACATCCTGAACTTGATCAAAGGGGACTGATTGCTCTTCAAGCCTCCTAGCTAAAAGCAATATTGAAAGAGCAATTTTGACAAAATTACATAAAATTTTATCACATTATGGTTTCAGCTCATAACCGGTTTGATTCAAACAACTTTTATGGTCTTCTAGTAAAGTTGTTTTAACATCAGACTGGCTATTTGCTTCAGGTAGCACTGACATGTTTTACTGATAAAAGATTTTTCCATCACCACAATGGAAATACTTTGTGAAATTGGGTACATTTTCTTTTACCCCATAGACTTTCCCCCACTTCCAGCCCCAACCCTCACCCTTACTTTACCAGAAATACAAGACCTTCTAAGAATGGAAAAAGCAAGACAATCCTTTTTTGGGGGTTCAATTATATCTTTACATTTCAGTCTCTAGAAGGTGACAACCAGTGAACCCCAGCTCAGTGTATACATTCCTTCCAGACTGGAAAACAATTAAATTGTATGGCTGAGGGGTTAGTCGTATGTACTATTTGTGATTTCCCCTCTTTGTGTAAGGTCTATTGCGATGCTCTGGTCAAAACCCAGAACCATCACTGCACAAAACACACCACCACACTGGGGTGCTGAATTTAGAACGAGACTTCTAGGTGGTGCTGCGTTTAGAAATAGTGTGTGAATTTCAAGACCACAGTGTTGCAGGGTGCTATGCCAATTTTAGTTTACATTTCATTGTATAAACATTTTTCCCATCTCCGTTTGGTATCCAGCAAACCATTCACTTATCGTTTCCCACTTTTTTTAAAAATTGTCTCATAGTCCAGTCCTTCTCCAGCCTTGCCAAGTATCACTCAGTAGCTGTACATCTGCTGTTGCTGCTCTGTTTGAACTTGCGGCTGTCCGGACTGCTGTTGTGCTTGCTGCGACTGGGGCGGCAAGACATCGGGCTGAGGCACTGCCCTCCATGTCAGCGGATGCTGCTCTGCGATCTGGTTCCCTAGAGGAGCAATGGAGTTCACCAGGGTTGTCAGGTTTATGAAATGGGCCACAGACTGGGGATTGGCTGCCTCTGGCTGTGGCTGTATCTGAATATCGTTTTGGCGATTGTGCAGCATGGCAGAACCACTGACCGTATCGAATGTCACAGTAAGGATTGAATTGTCGAGCTGTAACTGGCGTTCAGGAGCAGTCAGGTGGCCCACAGCCACTGGCTGGAGGTTGGTAAATTGGGTTCCAGCTGCCGTGGTAATCGGGGTGACGGTAATATTTGTCAACCCAACAGAACTAGAAGGGGCCGTGACGTTTGGGTCGCCAAGGGTCACCACCACCTAAGGAAAAACAGAAATAAAACCTCAACCTTCTGTTTGGCTCTCTGAAATAAAACATGTTAGCTGGATGCAGACCATTTTGGTGCCCCTACTGTGGCCATGGATATCGTGCTGAAGGGACTCTGCTGCTGTAAGCGGAAGAAAGCAACTAACAAGCTAGAGACAAATGTAATATTGATAACGATTCACTGAATTAATTCCAAACTTGCAAGCACAGCTTCAGCAAGAGGCAGTGGCACTGAATGGGCTGAAATGAAGATAAGGAGTTTAGTGGAAGTGGAGGGGATTAAATAGACCCCTCTTCCTTCCCCAACTTTCTATATCTCTTTGAATTGTGATTTCTACCTTCAGCTTTAAATCTCTAGCTCATTCACATTTGGCCTTAGGATTCCAACACCATCAACCCCTGTTGCAATGTCTGTCCAGTAGCTTTTCATGGGAACTCACCTGCTGAATACTCTGTACAGCTGAATTGGTTTCATCTCCCACATTCCCTGTGAATTCAGGTTCTTTCTCTGTGTATTCATTGAAGGCAGGGTCCTCAGGCACTTGCACTTCCTCCTCTTCACCCGGCTTCTGCTTTCGCTTATGGCCACGTTTAGGAGCTTTCATATGCTTGCCTTCGGGTAACTCTCCCTGTTCCAGGGTTAACTCAGGCTACAAGAAGAAGAGTTTTCAGTACAGCTGAATGTCGCTACTCAAGTCATTTAGCTCAGCATAGATCTGAGTGTGTCACCAGAGGTTGGTTTTCTGTCCATCCCCAGGTGAAGATGACCAGATTTGAGGGAATGGTTTTTCTCCCTGTAATTAACTCTTTACAATACCAGTACCCCCACTACACCACAAAGCAGAGAGGTTATTAGCATCTCTGTAGTGCAGTCAAAAAGATGACCTACACCAGCTGAGCTGAGTCACTGAAAAATGCATTCCCACCAACCATGCTGAACACAGTTAAGATATTTGCAAAGGACATAACCCTTATTTACAGTAGGCACAAAATCTGGTTTTCCTTAGAATTTTTCTTCCTCTCTACACAGTCTTTCACACTCATTCTGGATTTGTTTTTCACTCTGCCCACTCCCCTCTTCTATTTGTCACTCTATTTTTTTCTTGGAGTTTTTGCTGGTCCCCTCACTGCTCCATTTTTCAGACAGTCTGATCGTGTTTGTTGCCTCTTTGAATCCCTCCACTGCCTTCTGCTCACTTAACATAAAATTAAAGCTCCCTGTCATCACCTTCTGCCTAGCATTGTGCCCTGACCGCTACATCTCTTACTACTCAAGCTCACTTGCTCCCTGTTGCTCTACCTGAGCACTTAACATCCCTCTTTCATTTCCTTCTCCTACTCCTCTCTGAAATCCTGGCTCAGTTGAATTCAATGGGAGTTTTTCCATTAACTTCAGTAAGACCAGGGCTTCACCTTCTGTTTTCCTCTTCAGAATCCTGCTTCCGATCTGATCAATCTCTTCTCTTTACTGTCCCTCCATAAAGCACACTTCTTCCACAAGGCCTATAAAGCCCCAGCTCAAATCTGCCCTGTGATGCTTCTTTCACAGTCTGATCGCCACAGGTCTGACCCTTGAGAGCAGGGCCCCTGTCTCTGATCTATCTATTCAACACAGAGCCAAACACAATGACAGTACCGAAACGCTTAATAATAATGTTTGTTAACTCTTCCCACTCTCTGCTCCATTTTTCCACTGCATTTTCTCTCTGCTTCTTTTTTCACTATCTCTATAAACAGAGCACAAACCCAAACCCCACTGGAGTCTCTAGGCACTACCGTAACAATAAGCTACAGTGTTGAGTAAAGTTTTCAAACCTGTTTTTCCACCTTCAGAAAAAGAAGTTTGTTCATCCTCAGTTAAGACTAAGCCTGGGACAAATGCAAAACACTTGCCCATAGTGCATACAGGATCCTGAATCCAACCCCAGCATTCATGAGCAGGTTCCAATTTTATCCGGGGTCACTCACCAGTGATGGTGGATGCCATGGTGTATGTCATTCAGTGCCATGGAAACAGCATGTGAATGGCAAGGACTCAAAGCCACAGAAGAATTTAGGATTCTGCCACGGTTAGTTTACCTGAACAATCCCGATAGAGGAGGCATCAATGGTGGTAGCTTCTGGGAGCTGCTCTAAATCGTCAATTCTAACTGAAAGAACCTACAGATAAACAGATCCTGGGTCAGCTTGATAAATTATGGCCAGTACAGAACAGCAATGGAGAGCTCCACTGACAAGTAACACCACAAGACAGGATCATGCAACCGAACGCATTTTAATTGATTTGATTAATCAATATAATAGGTTTAATGTGTTTTACTTCCATTGATAATAATAATCTTATGGTATATAATCTTCCTTCCTCTCACTGACACCACAGCAACCAATTCCATAACATTTAGTTTCCATAAAATCTCATTGCTTTCTGTGGGAAAAAATAAGCATAATATATGGGTCACTATACTGCCATGTGAACAAAGTGACCACACTGCTGGAAATTTAGTTTAAACATAACAGCAGCTGCAGTCCATCTTTTCATCCTTGCTTCCTAGGCAGACAATACCCCATTAAAACTGGTAGGACTTCAGGAGAAGACAAACCCACATTTACCTGCCCTGATGGTTCAGTGAGCAACAAAAATTACAGTGCCCCTGAACTACAAATCTCTGAGGTGTGGCGTGCTCCTCTGTATACAACAGGATCTATACATCTCAGTTCACTGAAGATCTGAAACAACCAGCTCTCCACATTTCAGGTACTTTATTACTCAGCTTGGTTTTAATGCAAAAGAGAGAGGGCAAAAGTTTTTTTGCCCCTTATTTTGTTTCCCAGCCTTCACTGGTAAACAAAAAAGAGATCAAGGAAGAGCAATAATAGTGATAAACGGTTTATAAAGTAAGATCTCCAAGGGAAAAGTTAGTAGAGCAGGTCATAGCTGAGCTAGATAAAAGGAATTCTGAGGGAAGACATGATAGCTGTCAACAAGGGATGCCATAAAAGGAACGGGGATCAATTATCCACACTAGTTGATGAGGACAAAACAGAAAAATACGGAGTTAAGATGCAGCAGAAAAAATTAGCTGAATTAATAGGAAAAAGGAATTATTAAATGTTTATGAATCAGCAATTAGAAGGAACACAAACAGAGGGGCAAGGGGTTGTGGAATTGCCATTAATGCAGAAAATCAAGCCTAACACAGACACTTGGTCTACAAATAACCAAGATCACTCCTGCCAGAATGCAAGGAGGAGGAAGTAGATGACTCACTTGAAGTCATAGCTACGCCAAGTGAATTTATAATAAGCCACAATCCATCTGCCACAGATCTCACCTCTGGATGTTTGCGCCTCATGTGTCGACTCATTGAAGCTCTGGTAGAAACCTTTGTCCCACAGAGCTGACAACTCTGAGCTTCTACCTTATCGTGAGTTAACTGGATGTGCTTCTGAAGCATGTAATCAGTGACATACTTTTTATCACAGACTGAACACGTCCATTGTTTCCCAACTGGTGGCAAATGAAATGAAAAGGAGTTAGTAGATATCCCTAAAGGTGAATATTGTAATAGTGCATTAAGAGGAACACATTTTTTTTTAATTACGTAGTGCAGAATGTGGACTCAGGATTGCTTGAAGCAGAATGTCAAGCTGTTGTCTTTCGATACATTGCATTAGTGCACTTACCTGTATGAATCAGTTTATGGGTCTCCATTGTGTTTCTCTCGCTAAATGTCTTCCCACAGAGCTCACACATAAAATCTTTGATTCCTATATGGAGAGATTACATTTAAAACTGGAGTGATAATAGACTAAGGTACCTGGTACAATTGTGAATCTTAGGTTATGAAAAATCAGTTTCACTAGCCACTTTTTCCATTGTTTGCAAAAGTACTGTAGGAAATGCAGGCACTAATGGGAGCTGGTGCAGTGGGTGAGACGTGTGTCTCTGGGGATCAGAGTTCAAACCCTAATTCGAGACAAAAAGCGTATCCTACACCCAATGGTCTATGTTAAAAAAACAAACCATGACACAGTGGGCAGGTCTCTGCTCATGAGAGGCCAAAGTCTTCACACCTTTTAAAATGCAGTATATGCATATTCTTTTTAACTGTGTTGCTCATGCTCTTTGACTATTCAGAGCAGGGTAATGTCATATATTTCCAAAACAACCATTTAACTGATTAAGTGTGATTTCTGCAGGATGACTGGTCCTCTGGGTTGCTCTCACCTGTGTGCCTTTTGTAGTGCTTCAGCATGTTGACCTTCTGTGCGAATTTACGATGGCATTCCTTGCATTCATATTCCTTAATCCCTTTGTGGAGTTTCATGTGGTGACGCAGAGCATGTTTTGTCTTCATTCCTGTGAGCCATGAAGATGTAACTGAAGACATGGTGGGAAAATTCATCTGCATTACCCTTCACCCCCCACCCTGAGTAAGGACTCAAGATGAGCATGTTTCAAACAGATGATCCTAACTTCATCCCTAATAGAAGATGTCAACGAATGCCCATAGGTGATCTAGAAATGCTCTTTAAATAGTGGGTTTGGGTTTTTTATGTTAAAAAAAAAAATCTATGAAAAACATTTAAACAATCACTAAGGAGGGTAAGAGAAAAGCACGGAGAGACAGGGAATTTGACAAGAACATAATCTAAGGCATCATATTAGTGTCTTGCAGGGATTTCAGTTCAAGGTTGTTCAAGTAACAAAGTAAAGAAAAATGTTTATTCTAACTGCTAAGTCCTGAAAACTCAGCCTAGAACGCAGTTAAACTGTGTTCTTTCTGACTCTTTTCTGGGATGTAAATGCGATGGAAGTCAGGCAGGCAAGCGTTCCTGAAATTAGCAGCAGCACAGATGAAGAAGAGGTCCAGGTTGGATATCAGGAAAAACTATTTCACTAGGAGGGTGGTGAAACACTGGAATGCGTTACCTAGGGAGGTGGTGGAGTCTCCTTCCTTGGAGGTTTTTAAGGCCCGGCTTGACAAAGCCCTGGCTGGGATGATTTAGCTGGGAATTGGTCCTGCTTTGAGCAGGGGGTTGGACTAGATGACCTCTTGAGGTCCCTTCCAACTCTGATATTCTATGATTCTATGATTTAGAAGTCAGGTTTGCTTGCTGCAGGCCAGGGAACTGATGGATGTAAAATTAAGGCAGGCCCCTAACATCCTGATCAGCATGGCTTCCTATTCAAGACTCATTACTTTGAGGACTTTCCTGGTATTTAATGAAGCTATTGGTTTTAATATGGGAAATGTAACAAACAAAATGTCTAATTCAAAGGCGATGTCTGTACCTTTACCACATTCCGCACACAGGTATTCTCTGATGTTATCGTGGACTCTCATGTGCTCTTTTAACATGTCCTTTCTGGCAAATGACTTTCCACACTGCTCACACGCATGACTTTTTACACCTTCCAAAAAAAGGTTATTGCAGTATAAGCAGAATCTCTAGGGGAAAATGTGTGTTGCTAAAAGCTGACAAACCTCTGGCAATAGATTCACTGAGCAATAATCCAACTGTCTCCTGAACAGCTCCGCTCAGACAAACTGAATCCCAAAATGAATGATGAGAAATAGGCAAGGGAGAGAAGAGGTTTTCATCTGAGCTTTGAAACAAGACGGAGGCAGCGAGAGATGGAAGAAAGCTGTAGAGAAGGATCTCATGATGAGCGTAGAGACTTATGCTTCTGTATCAACAGTGCTGAGATTGTGTAAAGGGACAGAAGAGTGAGTGGTGCTAAGTGAGCAAGTGTGTGGGGGGGTAGATGGAGACAAGGGACAGAAGTCTGACTGGAGATTTTTAAAAACCAAAGAGCGCTAGATTGAACTGCATTCTGAAATGCACAGTGGGGAGCCAGCAAAGTCATTTAAGGATGAAGGGATGTGGACCTGCTCCTCTCCACCTCAGGGGAGATGGGGAGCAGCCTTCTGCACATGCTGGAGTAAAGAGCTGGCACTTTGAGATGCCAAAGAGCTGGAAGGAACTGCAGTTCTCAGGGTGAGAAGAAATGAAGGCCCGGATGAGTATTTCAGCAGAGATAAGTAGAGAGCCAACATTTTTATTGGATGAAAGCTAAATTATATAATCAGGGAATCGCTTAAATCATGCTCTGGTATCATTTACCCTCATCAATTTTATACATACATACACACACACACACTTTATAAAACTGGCCTGCCATAAAACCATAAAAATAGCAATAACTGTATGGGTTCTTACTGTAAACTACCATAACCAGTTTCTTCCTGACAAGTAAAAGAATGGCCTCAGAAAGCATCCAGAAAAGGAAACCTTTGATATTAATAATAAAGGAACAACAACAACAACATCATGTTACCTGTGTGTATAAGCTTATGTCGTTCCAAATTCCCGATGCTGTTAAAAATCCTTCCACAAATTTCACATGGGTGGATGTATCTGAAACAGAAAAAGAAGCAGACTCTGCCATTCTCTTTTTGACAGGACTATGGTTTCAGTAATCTCAATCAGCAACTGGAATTTGTTTGAAAAGATTGTTACTGGAAAGGTTTCCTTGCAATATAAGTGTATGGTAAAATAGGGTTAAATAAAATAAGCCTTAAAAAAACATACAAGTGCATCACAAAGTAAGTGTGGCCAGGCAGTATTGCTCTCTCAAATTATACAGTCATTTTTTGATTTGATTAAAAATATTTACTTTAAAAATCCAGAACTATTATCTGCCCGATGGTGTACCTGCTATATATGACATGACATATTGACAATCGGGGGTATGTTTTACCCCTTTAGTAAATGAGGACCTGATCTTACAACCCTTAATGAAGCAAGAGGTCTCAATGGGACACAAGAACTGCAGGACTGTATAAACCTGAAACAATGTCAGAAAACATCAGCTACTCATATCACAAAAGAAACTGAAAAAAGAAGGGATTTCTCCTGGTACCTTGACATTAAAGAGAAAAGCCTCAAGAATGTCAATGTGTGTCTATCCCTCACTAACCAAGCACCCCTATTTGGCACAGCCACCATGATCTAAAAAAAAAAAAAAAATGTAGTTCATACAATATTAGTCAGACATGTCATCTTACTTCTGCACATTTGGATCAGGCAGATTCTCCCGGTGAATGACCATGTGAGCATGGTAAGTTGCCTTCAAGGCGAATCGTCGATTACAGATGCTACAGCCATAGCCTTTCTCCTTGTGAACCTCCATTATGTGTTTTAGGTACTCCTTCCCTCTGCCAAAGGTTAACTGCAGAACGAACCAATAGTGAATGCACGGGAAAAAATCTCTCAGGAAATAGTGACCAGTTAATGTAGTACTGGGATCTACAGCATAAATAGCCAATAATCAGAAATACTGTCCTCACTATCAGACAAAGAGTACAGGGAAATCTATACTCCTTCTTGGAACCTGTTTTGTCACTGAGGTACTAAGGACACCTATAAAGAACATCCAAAACCAGTCCCTCCACATGGGAGACTGTAGTTTGGGATACTAGTGCAGGTTGATACTCCCCTCCCAGGGTCTAAGAATGCGGCAGAGGCAGTTCACTCAGCCGCTGGAGATGGAAAAAAAATGTCTCACATTGCTCTGCTAGGAATCCTCTGATTATTTCTGGCCCTGAAGGGAGCTACAGCCAACCTCCCTTAGCCATCAATGCAGCAAACCGGCAGGGGAGAGAGTAGCTTTTGGACTCTAAGGCCTTGGCTACACTTGCAGCTGTACAGCGCTGTGAGTTAAACCTGACTTCGTGCAGCTGAGTAGGGAGAGCACTGCAGTCTGTCCACACTGACAGCTGCCCAGCGCACTATCGTGGCCACATTTGCAGCAATTGCAGCGCTATTGGGAGCGGTGCATTATGGGCAGCTATCCCACAGAGCACCTTTTCCCATTCTGGCGCCGTGGGTTGTGGGAAGGGGGCATGGGAAGGGGGATTCCGGGTCCTGTCTCAATGCCCCGTGATGCATCGCTTCGCATCCCAGAAATCCCTTTGTTTCTGTCCACCTTTGGCGCCATCTTTCAACGGTTTCTGTGCAGCGTGATCTGTCTGCGGGAAATGGAGTCAGAACTGCTGAGGCGTATGCTGATGAGTCTCGCCAGCACGTCACATTTGGCTATCGAACTATTCCTTAAGATCCAAAGTGACAGTGAGAGTGAGGGTGAGGATTCCGACGATGCTATCGAGCCGCGTAACGCTTCCAACACGAAATTGCTTGTGGCATTCACGGACATGCTCAGCACCGTGGAACGCCGCTTTGGGGCTCGGGAAACAAGCACCAAGTGGTGGGATCACATCGTCATGGAAGTCTGGGATGACGAGCAGTGGCTGCAGAACTTTCGGATGAGAAAAGCCAGTTTCATGGGACTGTGTGAGGAGCTCGCCCCCACCCTGCGGCGCAAAGACACGAGATTGAGAGCTGCCCTGCCAGTGGAGATGCAGGTGGCTATTGCAATCTGGAAGCTGGTAACTCCAGACAGCTACCGGTCAGTCGCAAACCAGTTTGGAGTGGGAAAGTCGACGGTTGGAATCGGGTTGATGCAAGTTTGCAGGGCCATTAATCGCATCCTAATCAGAAGAACCGTGACTCTGGGTAACGTGCAGGAAATAGTGGATGGCTTTGCACAAATGGGGTTCCCTAACTGTGGAGAGGCGATAGATGGGACGCACATTCCTATTCTGGCACCACCCCACCTAGGATCCGAGTACGTTAATCGGAAGGGGTATTTCACTATGGTTCTCCAGGCGCCTGTGGATCACTGTGGGCGTTTCATTGACATTAACACAGGCTGGTCTGGAAAGGTGCATGACGCACGCATCTTTCGGAACACTTGGCTGTTCAGGAAGATGCAGGCCGGGACTTTTTTCCCAGAGCGGAAGATCACGGTAGGGGAAGTGCCCATTGTGATCCTTGGAGATCCCGCTTACCCGTTAATGCCGTGGCTCATGAAACCCTACACAGGGAGCTTTGACAGCAGCAAGGAACGGTTCAACTACAGGCTGAGCCGGTGCCGAATGACTGTGGAGTGTGCCTTTGGCCGTTTACAGGCCCGCTGGTGATCTCTGTATGGGAAGCTGGACTTGGCCGAAAGCAGCATCCCTGCGGTTATATCCG